CCCCGTCCGCCGTGATCGCGCGCAGCTGCCACAGCGCGCTGCTGCTGGAAAGGGGCCGGGGGCTCCTTGGGTTCCTCGCATGCACTAACTGGAAAAGACGTGTCCGTGCAGGTCAGTGCGTGGGACCAGAGCAGTATAAGCACTTCATTGGATGACATTTCGCTTCCTACTGGCCTGAATGGCAGAAAAAATATAGTCTGCGTTTGCGCTTCCCGTTTACAAACCATCATGGTCTAGAACAGTGGATCCCAAGCCCATTCACAAACTTTCAGCAGAGGGGTAACATTTTAGTTGCATATTCATATAAATTATGCATATTCGTTATGTAAATAATGAATATGCAACTAAAACATTACCGGTCTGCCAAAAGCCCAGCCCTCAGAGCTCCCAGTGCCAGCCCTAACCCAGTGCACCTTTCCACTAGTCCTAGCGCCAGCCACAGATCCCAGAGTCCCCTGTACTGAACCCCCCCCAGTGCCAGCCTCCCACACTGAGCCCCCCAATGCCAGGCCCCCATTCCAAACTCAGTGCCAGTCCCATGCCCCCTCACCAGATCCCGCAAGACCAGCCTCCTATTTTGAGCACCCCTGCACTCAACCCTCCCCCCCAGCATCCCCAGTCCAGCCCTCCCTCCGTAACCTCTCCCCCAACTAGCTCTGTCTCCCAAGTCCCCCTAGACCCGCTTCTGGAGCCCCCAGTGCCTGCCAGGTTCCCCTCACTTAGCCCTGCGATGTTGCCCATGTCACGACAGCTCTGGGGGTTGGGGCACACCACCCAGCACCTCCCCTCCTGCTGTGGCTATTGGGAGAGGCGTGTCCTGTCCTGCCTCTCAACCAGCCAGTGCTGGGCAGGGGCAGGGTCCCCAGCCATGGAAGAGCACTTCTTTGCGTGGCAGGAGGGCTGTGCCAAGCGGCTCCATGTGGCCCTACCGCTGCATAGGGAAGCGCTCTTCTGCAGCTGGGAGGAGACCCCACCCCTGCCTGGAGCTGGTTGGCTGAGAGGCAGGGCAGGCTCTGCCTCTTCCAACTGCCGTGGTGAGAGTGGTGTACCCCTGCCCTGACCCCCAGAACTTCCACGGCCCGGCGGTTGGGAATCGCTGGTCTTGAACAATCCTTAAAAATGAAAAATATTAACTTTCTGATATAATAAAATGTTAATATGTATTTGGTAATGGAGTTGTATTGTAAACACTTGCTTAAACACATTTGAAAAACCCTGAAACTCTGAAAATTTATTTGCTTTTTTAACAGTACTTGTTTTGGCATCTTTGTGAGAGAGCGACAGCTCATTATATTTGTGTAATGCACAGGAGTGGAGGTGGGTAACTGCATATCTTTATTCAGATATGGACATTTGCATCCAGTTCTCAGTGAACATATTGACAGCAAATTTTAGATTGTATGGACTTTGGGACTGAGATGATTTTGGTGTGTCAATATAGTACCTAATATATAGTGCAGTCCAAGGCTAGGGCTCCTAGGTGCTATAGTCATACAAATAATAGTTGTGATCTATGTTGACAGTCTCCACAGACACACGTCTGAAATAGCATGGAGATGAACTTCTCTCTCCCCTTGATAATTCTATACAATGTAATGAACATATTGGATTGATGGTTGGTGTGGGGGTGAGAGGGAGCAACTCACACTACCACTGCCCAAAACTCACCTGTTCCATGCTTGCAAAAGACTTGTCTATTGATTCCCACTGAGATCACATCTTTCACAAGTCTTCTTCAGATGTATAAGCAGTTCCTACTACGCTATTCTACTTTAAATTGTATTTACCTTTGTACCAGACGTCTCTGTACCAACAGATTGATGGCGCATGGTAGATGCAGCAGCTAGGACCTCATTGCTTCCACAGGCCCTCTTTTGTGTGACTGATTAAAAGAATGGCAATGCCATGGAGAGCCAAATGCAGCCATGTTTTAAATAAATTTTCCAATTAGTATCAGAGGCAGCAAGGAGGGGAGCAGGAGCCAATGCTGGAGGGAGCCAGCTTAAAAGCAAGTTCCCCCCAACACCGGCTTGGAGGTGCCCCCCCACACTACTGTCTTTATCAGAGGCAGCAGTGGCTGCCGCGAAGCAGTCTCTCTTCATAGTGGGCACCTCACAGAGCAGCCTCTGTCCATGGGGAGCTTGGACCCCCCACGGACAGGTTCTGTTACCACCCCATGCTGCTGCTTCTGTATCAAAGGCAGCAGTGCGAGGCAGCAGGCAGCTGATCTGTACGGAGAGCTGTTTTTTCAACTGGCTGCTGGCCCTGCCTCGAGCACTATTGAATAGTCATGTAACCATTAAAAATCCCCCTCTATATTTCCAATTTGATCAAGCATTTAAAATAGAAATACTGAATAAAGTAACGGATGTGTTTTTGATGGGTACATCAGCACCCTCCCTCAATTACTGGTATCACTGACATGACTTCTTTTTCCTCTATGATTCTAAAGGTGACTCCATGAATAATTTAAATGATCCTCCAAACTGGAATATCCAGCCTAATCCAAGGGATAATGGTGGTGATGGAAACAAATGGAATTATGCTTTATTGGTTCCAATGCTGGGATTGGCTGCATTTCGTAAGTAATATTTTCAGTAATCAGATTTTTCTGACCAGCCCCAGCATTCTAATGGAAATACAATGTTTTGCTATGCGTGGGGGGTGGAGAATGTCAGAACTGACTGCTGACTTTTCTGAACCAAAATGTGGCATTAGATTGCTCCAAGAACCCCCCTTCTACCCAGCTGATTGGAGTGACATTTCCACAATCCAGGGGAAAGTCAATTGCAACCGTCTTTACTGGCTAGAAGGTCAGGAAAGGGGTCATTTCAGCATATCAGAAAAGGAGAGAATTTGGTGAATAACTTTATTTGGCGAAAGTAAAATCACACTGTCCAAGTATAAATATTCCATAACACATAATGTGCCCCAGACTTGAGAGCAGGATGTAATTCCAAGAAAATGTCATGAGGTCAAACTTGGCAGGGAAGGGATATGTATTTAGGGAGGCCAATACATTCAAATACTAATATACATGTTTTTCTACACAAGTTAACTTACCATATCTTTTTTGGGGGGGAAATATGTAAGCCGGTGCAAAGTATCCTTTTTTCACTCATCCATTCTACTCCTCCACAGTTTGCCTCCATTCAGGGAATTGGAAAGGTTTATGGTTGAAGCATGCTAATTGGAGGAAGGAGACCTTTGTTCTGTTCCTAATTCTGCCATAGACTGAATGGTCCTGGGAAAGTCATTTAACCTCACTATTCATTATTATCATCAGATAACAGATAGGCCTTGCCTACATGGAGAGATAAGGCTGAATTTATTAAGGTCGATTTTTTACCACCTGATTTTGTAAAGTTCAAGGTGCATGTCCCCGTTGTATGCAAGACTTCAATGTACTGTGTCGTTAGAAGGGTGGCTATTGTAGACTAGATAGAACTAGATAAATTCATGGAGGTTAAGTCCATCAATACTTATTAGCCAAAATGGATAGGAATGGTGTCCCTAGCCTTTGTTTGACTGGGGATGGAAACGAATGGCAGGAGAGGGATCACTTGATGATTACCTGTTTCTGTTCACTCCCTCTGGGGCATCTGGCATTGGCCACTGCCAGAAGACAGGCTACTGGGCTAGATGGACCTTTGGTCTGACCCAGTATGGCAGTATAAAACAGCTTCCACGTGCAGAGAAACTGAAAAGACTGAGACTATTCCGTTTAAAAAACAGGTGACTCTGGAGGTCTATAAAATCATGAATGGTGTGGAGAAAGTAAATACAGTATTGTTATTTACGAACCAGCAGTCACCTAAGAAAATTAATAGGAGGCAGATTTAAAATGAACATAAAGAAATATTTCTTCACACAACTTACGCTCAACCTGTGGAACTTGTTGCCAGGGGATGTTGTGAAGACAAAAAGTATAGCTGAGTTCAAAAATGAATTAGATACATTTGTTGAGGAAAGATCCATCAGTCACTATTAGCCAAGATAGTCGGGGAAAAAGGGTCTTTGTGTACCTAAACCTCTGATTGCGAGAAGATGGGAGTGGATGATGGGAGAGGATAGATGGATTACTTTATATATTGCTCTGTTGCATTCATTCCCTCTAAAGCATCTGGCATCAGCCACTGTCAGAAGATTCAGCTAGATGGACCATTGGTCTGACCCAGTATGGCCATTCTTTATGTTTTAAAACTGTAGATTCATAGACTTTAAGGCTAGAAGAGACTGTTATGATCATCAAGTCTGATCTTCTGTATAATACAGACCATACAACTTCTCAGTTTTGTATGATATGTGAACTGAAGAAAAGTTCAACTCTTTGGGTATGTCTAGACTACATGCCTCTGGCGACAGAGGCATGTAGATTAGACTACCCGGCATAGGAAAATAAAGCGGCGATTTAAATAATCGGCACGTCATTTTAATTTACATGGCTGCCGCGCTGAGCCGATCAGCTGTTTGTCGGCTCAGCGCGGTAGTCGGGATGCTCCGCGGTCGACATCAAAGGCATTTGTCGACCTCCCAGGAGGTCGACCTTGGAGGTCGACAGATGCCTTTGATGTTGACCGCGGAATGTCCAGACTACTGTGCTGAGCCGACAAACAGCTGATCGGCTCAGCGCGGCAGCCATGTAAATTAAAATGACGTGCCGATTATTTAAATCGCCGCTTTATTTTCCTATGCCGGGTAGTCTAATCTACATGCCTCTGTCGCCAGAGGAATGTAGTCCAGACGTACCCTTTGTCTTTGTGAAGAAAAAAATTACTACTAATAATAGTGGCCACAGAAACTTCTTAATGAAGTACTTAAATATTTTTGATTATCCATGTTAACATGTTTTGTTTACACATGAAATTTGTTTTATGTATGACAGGATGGATCTGGACCAGAGAGTCTCAGAAAGAGATAGAAAAAGAAAAAAGAGATTATTATAGAAAATTAACATCTGTACGAAGAGATCTTGAATCAAAATATCGTGACATAATCACAGAAAATCGTCACACAGTTGCTCGCTTGGAGTTGGAGCTTGAAAAGGAACAAAAAAGAAGCCTAAGCTATCGTGAAGCCCTAGTCTCCCAGAGTCGCAAATTAGTAGAAGAAAGAAGAATTCTAGAACAAGAACATGAAAAGTTAGAACAAGAAAAACAGGTTCTGCTGCGCTCAGGGGCAGCAGGTGCCTTGTATCATAATTATCTTGAAAAGGAAGCACAGTGGCAAAAGAGAGCTAATATTGTAATAAAAGAATTTGAAGAAGCACTTTTAGAAAGACAAGACATCTACTGTAGTTTTGTGCTGCCCAGAAACCAGCGACTAGAAATAGAGAAAAAATTGCTAATTAGAGCAGCAACTGATCCTGTTGCTATGGATCTAGAAATTGAAAGTGGTTTAAAAGATATTTTTAAATATGATACATATTGTGGTAATGTGTTGAACACAAACAAACGTCAAAATGGAAGACTAATGTGGCTTTATCTCAGATATTGGGAACTAACAGTTGAATTAAAAAAGTTCAAGAGAGTAGAAAAGGCCATATTGGAAAAGTGATGTATGAGAAAAGTAGTGGCATTTCAAGCACAATGGCATGTGTAGTATACAATGACTCACTGGTATTCTGAAACTACTAATTTCCTATAGTACATTCATCTGTTTTCACTTCCTCCTTGCAGCCACATTTACAGCTATCCAGGCAAGTGTCTCTACTGTTGGTGCTTTTCCATGGATGTGCCAACAATAAATGTGCATTAAAGCAGTGCAGTTTACTTTAAGACTGTGTCAGCTGAAAGATACACTTTGTATTCATAGTGAGGATAGCTGAGTGTGCTCCCAACTCCTGATTTCCTGCATGGCAGTGCAACATCTTTTTGTGGAACTCAGGAAAACACTTGGAGGTGACTGTACTAACAGTGAAATTGTTTTTGTTATATTTAGGTGTGAGAGACTTTTTCTGTACCAGTGAAAAAAGTGTGCAATCAAGTTTTCAAATTAGATTTGCCTTGTCTTCCAGGTTTGGTGTGCAAATGCTACTTTACACTACCTTATGCATAAAATATTTGCATGACATATAAAGACTGCAGATGATATTTAAAATAATACAGACGGAAAATAAATGCAAAGACTTCAGTCTCATGCCTACTGAAGTTAATGATAATGAGGGCATGATTGTTTCTTAATCAGGATTGCGTATGAGTTTTAATCTAAAAGTTGTCACTTTAAGGGGTATTCATACAATGGAAAAGTAAAACATTTAATCACTTACTTTGCCTTTTAGATCTAGGTTACCAATTTGGATTTTGTCCACCATGGTAGTGCCGAAGGCCCTATTGTTTTGACTGATTGATCTGTAACAGATTGATTATTTTAAGCCCATCCTTAGTAGACAGATGTCCACATCATAAAAGCCATCATCGCATTCAACAGAGATTTCAAGGATTGACTGGAGGTAAAGACAAACAACTCTCTTATCCTTATATGTAGTCCCTCCAGATCAAAAGTGGGACCTTGGCTCATGTACAGTGAGAAGATAGGTGGGGAGCAAAATTATCCCCTGGATTGATTTTGGGGAAGTAACAGAGAAAAGGAATTCTCATTGAATTTTCCTCTTTGATGCCTCTCTTCTAGATATTTTAGTCATGGTGGGGTAATTAGCCCAGGATTCTGACCTTATTGTAGAATTAAAAAGAAGCAGTTACTTATTCATAAGTAAAAACAACAGAGGATAAAAAAAAAAACCCTTTCATTTTTCAAATCTATCCTATGTAAAGTGCCTCTTGACAAGTTTGGTTTTTTCTGCCAAAGGATAAAAGAGAAGCAAAAGGAAAATGGATATACAATATGGGTGTGTCTAGACTACAAGGTTTTGTCGACAAAAGTGGACTTTTGTCGACAAAACTATACCTGCGTCTACACTGGCGCTGAGTTCTGTAATTCTAGGGGGAATAACACCTTTTGTCAACAGAGTTCTGTTGACAGAAGGCGTTATTGCATCTACACTGTCCTTTGCGTCTACACTGTCATTTCGACAAAGCAGATTGCTTTGTCAACAGAACTGGATGTAGTCTAGTTGCTCTTTGCCGACAGAAGCTTTGTCGACAGTATCTGTCAACAAAAATTCTTTTGACAAAAGCCTGTAGTCTAGACATACCCTTAGTGGGAAGTAATGTAAATCTGTATTTAAATTGATTTATGTAGATGTTTGTAATTGTCAATTTCTATTAAAAATTGTTTACATTACAGCCAGAAGGGGAATAACTGATTATTTCAGAATTAATTTTACTGATCTCTAGGATGCTATTATAATATGTCGAACAGAAAGAAAATTAAATACGCTAAAGTGACAAACTTGGGCTAAATTTGGTCCATGATAGAGTTTTTTGTAACAACTATCATTTACAAAAACTAAGATCAACAGAAGAGTATCCATGGATATTTTTCAGTATCGAAGGTTATGTCTGTATTCTTATAACTGTGTGCATCACTGTAGTAGCCGGCTGCCTCCTAAGGGACAGAACAAATACAAAAGACTTTTGCACTGTATCAGTGTCTCCTTTGTATTTCCACTGAAGTACTCAGGCAGTGGGTGGTTTTTTTTTTCATTTTTGTTTTAATTTGATTAGATTTTTGTGAGCAAAAGTTCATCTGAAGAAGCAGGTTTTTATGTTGATAGAAATGAAAGAAATATATACCCAGTACACCTACTAAAATGTTGTAAATTTGTATTATCTCTTTGAAAAATACCAAAATTATTTGTCATCTTGACTTACATTTTTCTATAGTTTGTCACTGATATCAACTCAAAAATATTTACAAAGATGGCACAGAGATAAGAGGGAAAAATATTTTTCAGTTTATATTAATATTTAAATTGTGGCACTGTTTGTTTTATTCCTAATACAATGTTGTAATTAATCAGTGTATCTAAATACCAATTAGTAGAGTTATTTTTGTAAAAATAAGATTCTTTGAGGTTACATTTGTGTAACATTAGGTTTAGTTAATGGTGGCATGGCAGTGACTTGAAGTCCAGAAGCACATAATAGATTTAGGAGTACAACTCCAACTGACTTTCAATGGGACTTGTGCTCCTAAATCTCTTAGGCTCTTTCGTAACTCTCGTAATAAATAAGACTGTGTTGGAAGTTGTGCTGTATGCTTTATTTTGTCTCTGGCTCTTCAAATTTTGATCTAGGTAAAAGATTGATTTGCAGTGTCCCTATATAATATCTGTCTGTCTGTCTATCTAAAAAGTTTTTCCTGCTGGACAACAGAATGATGTTGTAATGTCATCAGGGTCATCAATATCAACAGGCTCTCTCAGTGAAGTGAAAGCGGCCAGAGAGAGGGGAGTAGGTGAATGTAGTAAGCAGAGGACGTAAGCCCCTACCTAGTATGGTATAAGGATCTGTTTCAGAATATTATCTCTATAATTAGGGTATGTCTACACTGCAGGGCAAAAGTTGAATTAAGATATGCAACTTCTGCTATGTCAATTGTGTAGGTGAAGTTGAAATAGCTTAATTTGGCTTTTGGTGCTGTCCACACAGCAGGAAGTCGAAGGAAGAACACTCTTCCTTTGACTTCCCTTACTCCTCGGCTGTGTCTAGACGGGCAAGTTTTTCCGCAAAATCATCTGCTTTTGCGGAAAAACTTGCCAGCTGTCTACACTGGCCGCTTGAATTTCTGGAAAAGCACTGATGATCTCATGTAAAATCATCAGTGCTTTGCCGGAAAAACTATGCTGCTCCCGTTCGGGCAAAATTCTTTTTCCGAAAGACTTTTGCACAAAAGGGCCAGTGTAGACAGCATATTACTGTTTTCTGCAAAAAAGGCCCAATCGTGAAAAAGTGCTTTTGCGGAAAAGCATCCTGCCAATCTAGACGTGCTTTTCCGAAAATGCTTTGAACAGAAAACTTTTCCATTAAAAGCATTTTAGGAAATTCATGCCAGTGTAGATGTAGCCCTCATGAAATGTCAGTGTAAGAAGTCCTCCAGCTCGACATTATTTTAAAATAATGGCTTGCGTAAATGCACATTTTGTTATTTCGAAATAATGCTGCTATATAGAGGTACCATAAGCTACTGTTTTCAAATAACTATTAATAAAAAATTAAATTTTGCTGCGCTGTTTCCTGGAGTTGGTTTGTTTGCAGAACAATTTGGGTGGCTGATATTTTGGTGTAGGACAGATCATTACATTCCAAATTGACACTTGCATAATTTAGTCTGAGGTCTCATGCACTTTGGAAACTCTTAAGAATTTTTTCTTTTAAGAAAAAGAAATAACAAATAATGGTCACCAAATTGATCGCTGACAGTGGAGCTTGTATTTAAATAGACACATCAGCTGTCATGAGAGAGAAACAGCTCAGCCACCCAGTTAGTGTATTTATTAGATAACATTGCTTGCCTTCCCTCGTGCTTCCTTCCCATTCAGCTTCTCCACATACCTTAGTTCCCAATATCCAATATTCCCCTCCCATGGAACCTCACATCATCCCAGTCCAGTGTTCAGAGGCTCCCTGGGGGGCCCGTCCATTCCCTCACTGTTGGTTTAACAGTGGCATATTAATATTCCTCTGTTACTTATTGTTTACTTTATTTACCTGTATAACTCCTCGTATTTTAAAAAATTAGACAGGTGTACTGCCTTATTTTTGGCAGGTGAATGCACTTTTAGTATTGAATAAAGGGTAAACAACTAAGTATCTGTCTTTTATTTTACCGGGTACATAATTGATCTGTTAATTATCCCATCACAACTGCCTCACATATTTTTGAACCATTTCTCTGAGGTTGGAGTAATTTTTTTTTCCAGGAAAAGGCTATCAGTAACTGAGCAGCTACTAGCAGATAAGAGATAAAGCCTCCATTTCCTTTTGTGTGACCATTTCTTCTAGAAAATCCCAAAGAATACCAAATGATCATTTGGTAATAAACATCCAACAGTTTGTGATATTGGTTACAGATTTCATCCCAATAGACTCTAATTACTAGATAGATCCAGCTTATATGCATAAAATCTCCTCGTTCACCATAATTTCTCCAGCATTTATCCTCATTTAATCTCTCTATTTTTTTACTTAATTGGCATAAGGTATCATTGAAATAACATCTTAAATTCATTTTTCATTATTATGCTACAGACTGGCTTTGTAGTCCTCTTTTCCAGATCAAGTACAGGCAGTCCCCGGGTTACGTACAACATAGGGACTGTAGGTTTGTTCTTAAATTTAATCTGTATGTAAGTCGGAACTGGCGTCAGCCGCTGCTGAAACTGATCAGTTTCAACCGCGGCTGAATCTGGACGCCAGTTCTGACTTACATACAGATTCAACTTAAGAAACCCAGGCGTCCCCAAGTCAGCTGCTGCTGAAACTGATCAGCGGCTGATTCCAGGAAGCCTGGGGCAGAGCAACTCTGCCTCGGG